AAGAAGGTAGGGGCGCGACATGTAGGGAGGATATTCTTCTCAAGTTGCTTGATGTAATCGCCAGCGCTCACCTTCAGTCCGGGTCTACAACGAAAATATCGGTCCTCCCATTCCGGGTACCCCGGTCCACACCATCAACTCGCGCCTCGGCGACTACGGTGAAGATGATGTCTACCGTAGCGACGTTGACGGAGCTGCTCGATGTTGGAGGTCTTCCAGATCGAGAGTACTGGTCTCCAGGTAGCTATCCATGGGTGACTCCATACTAGAAGTTTCGCAGCTGTTTGGAGGTGACATGAATTCCAAAGGTCTTCTCCAGTCAGGCTGCGACTGGAGATGACTTCATATTTTGGTGTACATGAAGGTGATGGGCGAGAGCCAGCTCCTGCTTATCGAGGAACATCTTGGGTATCTTCCGCCCTGGTACTCGTATCCACGTCCTGTCTGGGCAGCGAAAACTTTGCTGATATGTGACTCGGTCAAAGTGACTTTTTTTGGCCACCCCTGTATTCCATCCCCGAAAAAGCAAATCTCCGAAATGGTCTACAAGGCACTCCAAGTTTCAATATATTGTCGGCAAAGATACGAAAACCATTACGTTACAAGCAATCGGTAAGGTATACCAAATCGCTAGTATTATACACAGTTCCGATTGCTCTGATTGATCATTCATATGCTATCTGCATAAAAACATGATGACCGTCACTGGCAGTATACGCTTTCTTGGCATTTTTGAAACAAGCACTCAGGTAAACATTAAAAAATTGAGGTACTGCACACCTTTGTTCGATCGAAAACAACGTTTTCGTGCTTTATCAACCATGCTGGTCGTGGTATTCCACGACGCAGTCGAGCGTGTCCAGGTAATCTGTGTGCCTGCAAATTTGCGAAGTGCTGTACATGTTTTGCAGCTACTCTTTTCTTGCAACCTTGGCATATATATGACGAGTTTTGTGCCTTCCAAGGTAGATATGCGGAGTGTTAAATGACTCAATGCTCCGACTAAATCGTCTTCTTTAGAGACATAAAATGGTTTAAAGCCTCACTTGTACAGTACAGTTTTCCCTGCTAACTTTGATGCCTT